GCGGGGGGCGGGGGGGGGGGCTCCTTCTTCATCCCCCTGCCGGGAGGCAGCGGGGGCTCAGCGCAGGGAGCCACCGCAACCAAAGCCAAGCCCTCACCCCCCAGCCAGGGCCCCAGACCCCCCCCGCAGCACCCAAAGGGGCTTCCCGCCTCCCCGAGGGCGCCGCAGCGCTGTGAGCGGGGGCTCGGACCCCAGACCCGGCTTTACGCCCCCGTGTGCGTCTCCACGATGGCCACGGCCCCACCTACTTCTCCAAGATCTGCTGCCTGTTGGCCTCGGCGGCTTGGCAGGCAGCGCGGGCCTTCTCCAGCAGTTTGGCAGCTTTCCCCTCCAGGTCGGTGTAGAAATCCTTCCCCTCCTGCGACTTCTTCATCAGGTCCTCGTAGGCTTCGTAGGAGGCCACCAAGGTCTGAACGGTCGTGTTCCACCTGGGAAGACGGGGCGGAGGGGCTGAGCGGGGACGTGACACGGGGCCGAAGCCGGGAGTCCCTGCTCCTGGGGAGTCCACGGCCGCCCACCCCGGTGCAGACCAAACAGCCACCAGCGGCCCCCCAGCAGTGGGGCAGGACCAGGGACAGGGAGAGAAGGTGGCAGCGACCCCACACCTCTCCCTTGGGGTGGGTGAGGGCCGTTCCCAGGCACCCAGACCCCAGCGGGGCACCCTCTCCGCCCCGCACACCACTCACTTGTGCTCCACCTCGGCCAGGGCCTTGCGCACGGCCGCGTATTTGACGTTGGCGTCCGTCAGGGCCTTCAGGACGTTCTCCTGGGCGGCCAGGTTCTGCTCCAGGTAGACCTTGATCTGGTCGTACTTCTTCAGCTGCTCCTCAAAGAGTTTCTGCGAGAGAGGGGAGGATCTGAGGGGCCGCAGGCGGCCGGGGAGGCTCCGGAGTAGGTTGGGATGGAGCAGAGCTCTCGCCGCAGCCCCGAGGGGGACGCGTGGCACGCAAAGGGGCTTCCCCAAACACGGTGGCTGGCACCCACCTTCATCTCGGAGCGGTCGGTGGTGACCAGCGAGGTGGTGATATCGTCCTTCTGGATCATCTCGCGCAGCTGCTGTTCCAGGGACATCCGCTGGTCCCTCATCTCCTGCACCTTCCCCAGGATTCGCTTCAGGTTCTGCAGCACCTGCTTGTCGTCTGCAGGACAGGAAGGGCTGAGCGGCCGCACCGGACCCCTCCGAGCCCCGGCGCAGCCTGCCCGGCCCCAGCCCGCTCGCGGGACGTGCTGCAGCCCAGGGGAGGGAAGCGTGGGGGTCAGGAGCCAGCCTGCGGCTTGTCCTGGCACAACCACGTTCCGTTTTGCATGTTTTTCAGGGGGACGAGCCCCCACCCCGGCTCACGAGGGACCACGCAGCCGGCCGACGCCAAGGCAGTGCAAGCCCAGGCACGGGGCGAGGCGAGGGGAGCCTCGGTGAGGCAGCAGGGGGACGCAGACCTGCCGTCCCCCCAGCCCGGGGCGCGGCTGGGGTTCAGCCCCTCCACGGGGCGTGGCAGCGCTCACCTTCGGTCAAGGCAGGCGAGGGCAGCGCGGCCCGGACCTGCTCCAGCGGCCCGCTGAGCAGGCGGAGGTTGCCGATGTGGAGGTTCATGGCTTTGTGGAGCTCGGTGTTGGTGAAGCTGGCCTTCTCGTGCACCTCCATGTACTTGGAGCACTCCTTGCTGACCTCGGCCAGCCCCGGGGACGGCGGCGGGGGGGACCCCTGGGGCGCCGGGACCTTCCCAAGCAGCTCCTGCAGCTTCCGCTCCTGAGCCTCGTCCTCCTCCAGGAGGTCTTGGATCTCCTTCAGGGAAGCCTCCACGTCGGTGAAAACCCCGGAGAGCACTGGAGGGGAGAGACACGGAGGTGGGCAAAGGGCTGAACCACCCGCTACCAGCTCTCCCGGCCCAACTCATGTGGCCACTGCCTGCTCCAGCCTCGAAGCCAGGCATCGACACAGCAGCCTGAAGAGTAAACCCAGCTATGGGAGACCAGAGAAGGCAAGGAGACACCAGCCCAGACACCAGGGTGCTGGGCTCAGGGCCTGCCCGCGCTGGGGAGGTGCCCGCAGCGGGCTCCAGGCAGCACCGAGCCCCTTGGCTGCAGGGCATGGGGGGCTGCAGCCACCGGCGGGGCGACACCTGCGAGGAAGGTCTCTTCTCCCCAGGAACAAGCGATGGGACGAGAGGGAACGGCCTCAAGCTGCGCCAGGGCAGGTTTGGGTTGGGTATTAGGGGGAGTTTTTTCCCCAAAGGGCTGTCAGGCCCTGGCCCAGGCTGCCCAGGGCAGGGGCTGAGTCCCCATCCCTGGAGGGATTGAAAAGCCGGGGAGATGTGGTGCTTGGGGACATGGTTTAGTGGTGGCCTTGGCAGCGCTGGGTTAACGGTTGGACTCGAGGATCTGAAAGCTCTTTTCCAACCTAAACCATCCTGCGAAGCAGCATCCCTCACCACTGGCCAACAGGAAAAATGCTTTGGGGTTACAGAATTTATATCAGAAAAGAATTAGTGATGGGAGCGGCCCTTCCCACCGCCAAGCCCAAGCCAGGGAGCAGCGCGCCTGTCCCCAGGGCCAGCCCAGACGTCCCCAGTCCCCCCCAGTCTGTCCCCGTGTCCTTACCCTGCATGGACTGGACAAGGTTCTTGACGGTGTCGGGGCGCACGCTGAGCGCAGCGCATTTCTCCATCAGGATGGGGGGGATGTGGCTGTACATGTCCAGGTTGTCCACGGTCTCGGAGTCCAGCTGCATGGAGTCCATGAACTGGCTACAGGCGAGAGAAGGAGCCCCTGAGCGGTGGCCGAGCCTCCCCACAGGTTCCCCCCCCGTCCCAAACAGCCGCCAGCTCGGGGCACGGCACCGCAGCAATCGCCCCCGACAGCCTGAGCAAAGCCGCAGGGTGAATTTGGGGACCGGTCACTGGGATTGGAACCCGCTGGGGGACAGGGCCTGCCCCAGAGCTGGGCAAACTGGGAGGCGACCGCGCTCAGCATGAGGGTGACAGGGATCAGGGATGCCTGCGTTCCCATCGGCACCGGGGAGGGGGATCATCGGGACCCCCCGTGCCAGGCTCAGGGAGCCCCAGCCGCTGCCTGGCTCTCCGGCGGGCAGGAATGGGCCAGGGCCCTGTCCCGGTATGGCTCACACATACTCCAGCACTTCGTTCTTGGCTTCGATCTTCGCCATCACGTCTCTCAGCAGTTTGGCCTTCTCCTCGCTACGACAGAGGAATAAAAAAAAGAAAAGAACGCCTTTAGTGCTGCGACAGCAGTAGGGGAACCTCCACCGTAAACCACCGGTGCTCCAAGACCTGCGGGAATTGGCCAGAGCCTTGTCCGTCCCCAGGCCCGCCGCCCCCGGCCCCTTGGCAGTCTCTGCGCTGCCAGGAGAGACAACGGACGGGAGCCCGACAGGAGGACGACGGCTCAGGGACGTTTGGGGAGGGCGGTGGCTCTCCAGGGAAACCACCGCGCCCAGTTTGGTCCCCTCCAGCTCCCTTCAGCCCGCAGGGAGGCCGAGCTGGGGCGCGGGCTCCGTGTTGAGCTCGGAGCTGGGGATCCGTGGCCCAGGACGCACCTGTACAGGGATGAGGCCTCGTGGGCAGCCATGGGCACCAGCTTGGCAAATATATCGGGGCCGGTGACAGCCGGGTCCGTGGGGTTGACGGGGAGGGCTTTCACCAGCGGGGCACCTGGGGGTTGAAGACACAACACGCGTCTGAAACCTCCGCGGGGAACCGGTTATTCCTAAGAGGGGTCCTCCCGCTCAACACCGTCGTTCCGGGCAGATCCCGGGAGAGCTGGGCATCACGGCATGAAGCCCCGCTGGCCCCAAGGTTCCCAGGGCCCCGTGGAGCCACCGCGTGTCCCTGCGTGTCCCTCTCCCATCAGGGGCTGGCGGGAGAGGGCACAGCCCGTCCTCACCTTTCACGGACTGCAGGGTGTCCAGCGCAGGCACAGCTTCGTGGTAGATGAAGTCATTGTCCTTTTTGGCCGAATTGTACCTAGAAACAAGCAGCGATGCCGCGTTGGTGAGGAGCGGACGGCATTCCCAGCTCCCTGAGCTCGCTCCCAGCGGGGTCAGGCCCTGGGCGGCTCCAGGGAGAACGAAGAGCAACTTCCATGGCAGCTGCACGTCCCGAGAGCCTCGGGCAGCACGGGGCGCCTGGCTCTGTGCATCGGGGGGCCACCGGGGCCACCCCCTGCGCTGCTCCGTCCACCGGGCATTTCTGACCCACAGAGCAGCAGGACGGTCGCGTCCGGGGGTGCCCCGTGCACAGACTCACTTGCCACCGATCACATCCATGGTGAATCTCAGGGCCTCCTGGACGGTTTCTGGCTGGCCCTGCAGAAACGAGAGCAAGTTAGCACAGGCAGGGAACGGGTATCGCTGCCGCAGCGGCCACGAGCGTGCCCGGGAGCCAGCAGCAGCCTTGCCAGCGCCGCTCCTCGTGCCCCATAAAGGAACAGAGATGCTGCAGGCAGCCCCAAACCCTCTGTGCCCCTGTTTCACAGGCGGACCCTGCCACGGGGCTGTCCTCGGCTTCCCGAGCACCGCAGCGCCCACGCCAGCGGCTCCCACGCGGCAGGGCTGCGCGCCGCAGACCCGCGGCCCTTCTGGAGCCGCCCACACGCTGCCGGATGATCAAAACTGACCCAATCCCCCCTAAAGCCCTGGCAGACCAAGCGGCCGGGAGACAGCAGAGCCTTGGACGTGGCTGGATGTCGCAGAGGGAAGAGAAGCGATGCTTTGGGAAGCCAGCACAGGTTTGCCAACCCAGTCAACAGCAAAGAAAGTTTTTAAACCGTCATCAGTTTGGTGTCCCACTGGAGTGAGCCGCTGCTCAGCACAGGAATTTAAAAAAACCCAACAATTATTGCTACCAGATGGAGCAGGGACGCACCTTTGCCAGCTTGATTGCTTCGTTGAGTTTATCCAGAGCGCTCTGGAAGTAGATGACCTGCAGAGAGACCGGGAATTAGCGGGTACCAGGGGTGGCACAGAAGTTGGTGCCCTTGCTTTGCGCAGGAACATCGGCCCCAAGAGCTGCAGCGCAACGGGGCTTTCCAAGAACACCCACAACGCTTGCAGGAGGCAGGGCGTCGTTGGTGACTGTCGTGGTTTAACCCCAGCCAGCAACTAGGCACCACACAGCCGCTCACTCACTCCCCCCCGGTGGGATGGGGAGAGAATCAGAAGAGTAAAAGTGAGAAAACTCATGGGCTGAGATAAAGACAGTTTAATGGGTAAAGCAAAAGCCGCACGCACAAGCAAAGCAAAGCAAGGAATTCATTCACTACTCCCCCAGCTTATATACTGAGCATGATGTCATATGGTATGGAATAGCCCTTTGGCCGGTCTGGGTCAGCTGTCCTAGCTATGCTCCCTCCCAGCTTCTTGTGCACCTGGCAGAGCACAAGAAGCTGAAAAGTCCTTGACTAGTGTAAACTCTGCTCAGCAAGAACCAAAACATCAGTGCGTTATCAACATTATTCTCATCCTAAATCCAAAACACAGCACTCTACCAGCTACTAAGAAGAAAACTAACTCTATCCCAGCTGAAACCAGGACAGTGACGCACTTGTGTCCCCAGTGCTGCGGGTACCCAGCCGACACGGCTCTGCTTACCCTTTCCCCAAACTTCTGCTGCTCCTCGGCCTGTTTTCCCATGTGCAGCTGCAAGAAAAGACGCATCAGAGCTCCTTAACTCAAGGGAGATCGTTGAAACGGGCAAGAAAACCCCGCAGAGCAGCCAAAGCCCCATCGCCGGCTGCGTTGCGGTGAACAGCGCCGCGCAGCGGGCGTGAGCAGCCCGAGCCGGGGTGGGAGCGAAGGGCAGGTCCCCCCACTGCAGCCAAGCTGCCCCCTGCGATGGTCTCCCCACTTACATGGGCCACAGCAGCAAAATAATAGATCTTCATTTGAACCAGTTTCTTCCAGTCCTTCTGGATCTTTCCCAGCAGCGAGGCTGTCTCTGAGTTTTCCAGCGCCCGGCAGGCCTCTTTGTAGTAATCCACCACCTACGGAGAGAGGAAGGGGTGTTTGGAAACCCCCCCCGAAAGCCAGATCGCAGGTGGAACTGAGAGCACCACGGGAGAGGAGGATTCACCGGCACCAGCGCGTGGGCCCACGGCCTCAGATCACCTGGCCGGCCGCCCTTAAGCACAGCAAGGCCGCAGTGAGGTCTCCCCGCAGCCTCCTCCTCTCCAGGCTGAACCCCCCCCGCTCTCAGCCTGTCCTCACAGCAGAGCTGGGCCACCCTCGGAGCATTTCGGTGGCCTCCCCTGGCCCCGCTCCAACAGCTCCATGTCCTTCCCGTGCTGAGGACCCCCGAGCTGGACGCGGGGCTCCAGGGGGGTCTCCCCAGAGCGGGGCAGAGGGGCAGAATCCCCTCCCTCGCCCCGCTGCCCACGCTGCGGGGGATGCAGCCCAGGAGACGCTTGGCTTGCTGGGCTGCGAGAGCACATCGCCGGCTCGTGGGCAGCTTTTCATCCCCCAGCACCCCCAAGCCCTTCTCGGCAGGGCTGCTCTCCACCCCTCCCTTCCCCAGCCTGTGCTGACACCGGGGGTTGCCCCCACCCAGGTGCAGGACCCTGCCCTTGGCCTTGTTGAACCCCATGAGGTTCACAGGGACCCCCCTCTCCAGCTCCCTCTGGATGCCATCCCTTCCCTCTAGGGTATCTTACGCTCTCCTTTGAGGAGCCGGTGGTTGTGCTCGCAGCCCGAGACAATGGCAGCACCCTGTACCGCTGTTTGACTGCACCGGTGCTGCGCAGGATCCGGGACACCCTCCCCGAGCTCCCTATCCCACACCTTGCTCCGTGCGGCGGGAGCGTGGCTGCGTTAGGAACAGCAAGCGCTGAGGCAGAAGCGGCCAGAGTTCAGCACAGCAGAGATTGCCCAGGAGCTCACCTGGGCGCTGATCCGGGCCACGAGGAAACTCTTCCTGTTATCCAGCATGGATTTCTCCAGGAGACACTCTTGCGCCTGGCCCTGCCGAAGGCAAAAGGGGAATA